AATAAATTTTAATAAACTCTTTTATATTTCTTGGCAAAAGTTACATAAAAGTCTGTTTCAGTTGGTAGTGTGTAAGCTGTAATAAAGATACTTTTACTCCACTTACTCATCGTACCTTCAGATATTCACGTAATTGTATTATTCGTGAGTGTTAGTAAGCAGGTTTAGATCGACTGATTGCCTGACTTACAGTGTGTCGTGATATTGTACACAATAATAGTGTGTTAGTGATATATATATTATTATTACGTGACAAATTTGAGACTGATTGGCGCAACTTTCGCTTTGTTCTTCACAGACCGTGACAATGCAAAAACTGCATTGTGTAACTCTTTTATTCTTTTCACAATTAGAATTTTCGATCAATACCACCTGAACGGGAATTAAAGAACACATGCGCCTACATGACATGTCGTTCAATGGCTATTGTTTTTTGTGTTGAGAATCGACAATGAATTTCATAACACGATTGTATTTCTGTCATCACTATTTTCTTTGATTTCACAATAAAACATTGCGTTTCCATTTATTCTTCTTTTAAAGATTATAAAGACGAAATATTTCAGGAATCGCGTCTTATCTAAATCGGTTAGATTCTCATATGAGTTCGTTTACGAGAATTAAAAAATACAATTATTATACTCATCGTTATAAAAATGATTCATTGGAACATCATAACGCAATATTTAATAGTAAGGATGGGAGATTACGTTATTTAGAAGAATTTATTGAAATTATAAATATTATAAATACTTTCACTTTAGTTGAACATTTTATTTATATGATTTCAGTTAATGATATTGAAAATTATGCAAACACGTATTTAATATAAATATTTATTCAACTCATTTTATAATTATATGAACACATTATATATTATTATTACTTTAAAATAAATATTTACTTAAAAACTATGTTTCCTATTTCAATAATACAGTTTCCTTTACCTGAAGTTTTAAAATCGAAAAATGTAAATTCTTCATGTTCTGCATTTATTTTTATATTAGTCATTTCTTTTATATCTGTATGATATCGATTATCATTTCGTTCTTTTTGATTTTTTATTATATGATCAGTTATATTTTGAATAATATCGTTAAAGTTATCTTTTCCATCTAAATTATCAGTTATTAAAAAAACTGGACCGTTTTGGAAAATGGAACCTTCAAAATCCCATGCTAAAGAAGCAATTGCTGGAAAAAAGAAAAATAAACAAAGAGTTACAGTTCTTTTATGTTCAAATCTTTTAGGAACAATTAAAATTAAACCATTAGTAATTCATTATTATAAGACACCTCGTCCATTATTAAGAATAAAAAAAGAAGATTTACCAGTTAATTATTATTGGAATAATACAGCATGGATGACCACAACAATTTGAAATGAATTTTTAATTAATTTAAATAAACAAATGAATGAAGAAAATCGATTAATTATTCTCTTGTATGATCAAGCAGCTGTTCATTGTAATGAAAAAAGTTTAAAATCAGAAAATTTATCAAATATTATATTGCATCCATTACCTGCTATACTACAGCACATTTACAACCAATGGATGCAGGTATAATTTGTTCTTTTAAAGCACAGTATCAAAAACTTGTAAAATTTAAAATAGATCAATTTAATTTAACATATAACACAAATGAAATACCGGAAGAAATTAATATTAAACATGCTATAGATTGGATTGCAGAAGCATGGAATAATATTAGTTGTTATACTATTTTAAATTGTTGGAAAAAAACTGATATTGTGGAATCTTCACAATTTTTAGAACTTGATAATCCAGAAACACCTTCTTCCAGTAGTACTATTACTGGAGAATTAATTCCACAACAAAAATATGATACTCGAGAAATTCAAAATCTGATTAATAAATTACTCTATAATTATAAAGATATTATTGATACAAATGATTATATTGAAATTAATGATTCACTTCAAATTCAAGATATCAATATAACAAATGAAGATATTATAGATTTAATTCAAAATGAACCAGATGAAAAAATTAAACCAAGATTAGCTATTCAAAGTATTAATAATGTTTTAAACTTTATTGAACAAGAATCAGAATTGGAATTAGATAATAGTCAAATGGAACTTCTTAATTTCATTCAACAAAAATTTTTACAATATTGTAAATAACATATGTTTATTAAATATAATAATAATACAAAATGAATTAAATTTATATTTATAAAAATCTATATTCATGATAAACTTCATTATGTCCCCAAAAATAGAATAATTCATTTACCGTTGTTTTTCAGTTTCATATTGTTGAATCCTTTGTTGAAATTCTTCATCTGTTTCCTCTGGTTTATCATCCCACATCCCAACCTTCACCAATTCGTTTTACAGGTGACAATGGTTCATCTTCATTTTCAATTGTTATTGACTTTATTTCATCCTGAACTGTTGGTTTAACTTTTGAAGAATTAAGAAAAGAATGATCATTTTGGAGAGCAAATGAAATAACATCATACTTTGTTGGAGATTCTTTTAAAATTTCTGCAATAGAGAAGTGATGTTCTTCTTTAAATAAAAGAAGATAAGAAAATCCTGATATTGAATGGGATGCAAAAATAAAAACCATATTTGCAAATACTTTTTTTTGTATAGGTTTGAAAGAATATTTTTTTAATGAAGAAACTAAATTGAATTTAATTGGCATTTTATAGATATTTTAATAATCAAATTTTTTGATTGATTATTCTTCTGCACGCATATTTAATCAACTCTTAAATAAGAAAATTGGTTCATATAAAATTTATTCTTATTTATTGATTGATGTTTAAAATTTTCAAAATTTCATTATGAATCTCTGAAAATCAAATATTTTGAAAAAATTCTTATCTCTAGTTTTGTTTTCACTTTATAATTCTTATTTATTCTTATCTTTAATTAATGAATTCAAATTTGCTTTCAGAAAATTTCAAGTTTTATTAAAAATAATTTGTTTTCTATAAAAATTACTTCAGGATTTTTTTCTCATAATTATTTTGGAAGCACGTATAATTAGAATCATATTTATAATAAACCTTTTTTCATTTGACTAGTGGTACATACATACAAAATTACTTATCTTAAATTCAAAAAAATTTATTATCTTGAGACATGTATAACCAAGAATAAGGAGTAATATTTATCTACACAATTTAACTTATTTTGTATTAAGTACAATTTCATAAATTTAAATAAATTAATTTATAATTTTAACCTTTGTCAAATTTAATGAATATTGATATCAACTATCTTATAACAATTTGTAGCTTGAAATGACACCTATAATTTTATTTACAACTATATTTAATAATTTTTAGTGAAAATTAAAACCTTACTTAGGCCTAATTATAAATTTGTTCTGATTTTTTTTAGGTTATTTACTTCCGGTTACCGTGTATAAAAATTTCTTATAGAAAGATACACGGTAACCGGAATTTTTTGACAATTTTGACTAATATGTAATTATCAAAAGTGTCTAAATTGATGCATCAAAATAATATAATTCAATGTAACTAATTGCAGCAATTTTTATAAGAAATCAGTTTCACAAAAAAATTTCTTATAACGAGAGTTGACTGTATGGTCAATAATTTATCATTTTTTTTATACTACAATAAAATCGAAGGCACGTATACTCTTGTAATTTTTTTTTTTAAAAAAATAAAAAATTTAAACTTGAAATGTACAGTATATAGATAAATAGTGAAAATGAAAAGAAAATAATAAAAGGAAAATAAGATTATAATATGTGTAATGCCTATCTAATGACTAGAAGATAAGTGGTTGATCATCAATCAAGTCGTATCCAATAATAATCGTCCGTCATCATTTTATCATTCATCTTTTGTGAAATAAGGAATAGTGATAATAATTAATACGAACGATACGAACGATATGAACGATATGAGTAATGTTGTTAGTTCAGAGAGTAATACAGAGAATAATACGGAGAAGATTGATAATATAGTGAATATTGATAATAACATCAACGACAACAACGACGATAATAATAATAATAATAATAGCGATCCATTAGTCGTCCCATTGTTATTACAAAAAATTCCTACGCAATGTCGAATTTGTCAAGTGAAACGTAAAGTTTATGCATTTGAAGTTAAGAATGGAAGGTGTACCAGGTGCACTAGACATTATAAACGGTTTAAATTAGAATGGCCGATTCGTAAAATGATCACTAAAAAGAAGAGAGATAAGGCAAGTAATTATTTTGATTTAGATTTAGGATACTATTTATATTAATTAATCAATTATTATCATTATTATCATCATTATATAATCATAATATTCATTATTATTATTTATTTATTATTTGTTAGGCCAATGCAATTATGGAAAAGTTATTAAAAAAACAAGAAGAATCATTATTAATTAACAACAACAACAATAACAACAATAATAATAATAAAGCGGAGGAATCAGGAACACAAAATAATCACGAAGGAGGAAAGGAAAATACGACCGAATCAAAAATTAAGGAAGAGGAATCATTATTAAATAATAATTATTACAATAACAATATTAATAACAATATTAATAACAATATTAATAACAATATTAATAACATTAATCACAATAATTATAATAACAAATTAACGATAGTAGGAACGACGGCAAAAAACAATAGTATAAATTATTACTATAATAATAATAATAATAATAATAATCAAAATCTAAATTTATCAAGAAAATGGGAACCTTATTTTCATAAAGATTATGTGGTGAAAACACAACAGTATTTTAGGTATACTGAAGAAGGCAGTATTCAATGTACCGGTAAATTGAATTAATAATAATAATTATTTTAATTATTATTAATTATAAAATTTTAAAACATTATTAATATTTTTTTTATTTATTTATTTATTTATAAAAATTAGCGTACGCTTATGAATTTCGAAATGGAATCATTCGTTGGGATGTTCACACCGGTTATATTCATATGAATCCTATAAAACGTATCTCCGGACATCCAACTATGCGTTTGGAAAAACTTAAATGTTTTCATTCTAATTGGAAAAAAGAAAAAATCGTAATTCTTGGAGGAAATATTGAATATCAAGGGACTTGGTAAATATTATTCTTTTAATTTTCATTTATTTAATTTAATTTAATTTTAATTTAATTTAATTCAATTTAATTTAATTTAATTTAATTTTTATTTATTTAATTTTTATTTATTTAATTATTATTTATATTTATTTAATTTTTATTTATTTAATCTTTATTTATTTGTTTTTTATTTATTTTATTTAATTCCTTTTTTTTTTCGATAGGTATCCATTCGATCAAGGAAAAGCAATGATTAAAGAATTAATCGGATTAAATGATCCAGGTCTTTATACTATATTCGGTCCTGAAGTTATTGATTTATCTGGTGAACCTTCCACCACCACCAGCACCACCACTACTACGGGTTTTTCTTCTTATTTTATTACAGGAAATAATAATGATTATAGTAATATTACAGCACAACAAGTATATAATAATATCATTAAATTAGATATGGGTAATAATAATGATAATAATAATACTAAAAGGACACGTGATATCGGGAATGAAGAAAAATCAAAGAAAACGTTAAGGAAACTCAAGAAAACTTAAACATTTAATTTCGAGTAAATAATTATAGTAACTTAAGGTTGTTTTTTTTTTGTGTGTTTGTATTTTTTTATGTGTATGTGTGTTAAATTTTACAAGGAGAAAAATTTGGAATAAATAATATATTATTATTTTTACATTTATCGTTATCGCTATTATTATTTTTTTACGTGATCAAATACATATAAATATATTATCGATCCATTTTTTTCTTTGATAATGAAGCATTAATTTTAATTTAATTTAATTTGATACATAGCTACAAAGACATTGAATGTATAAGATTCCATTAAATAGAGAAATTTCATTATATGATGCGACTTTATATAAGGATAATTCCCGCATATCATTATTAACGACTCCTTATTATTAATATTCATATTATTTTTTGATACAATAAAAGCAATAAAAGAAAACACTCATAATACTGAATTATTATCATTCTCTTATTCAATGGCTTTAATTTGTTAGATTATTTAATGATATTCGTTAATAGATTGGTTCGCAACAAAAAAAAAATATTTATAAATGATGGTAAAAGTGAACATTTACAAAAAATAATAAAAGTGAAAAAAACAAACTTGAAACTTCGTATCCATGTTAAGTATTCGTTACACTTATGTCAACTTCTACTAAGAATATTTGAAATTATGTTAATTATAACACGAAAAGACTTTCTTTCTTTCTTAAAAGACTTTTTCAAAATTTTCATCTTACCTCACTTCACCTCACCTCCATAACCACTACATCACCTTCATCTCCACTTCTCCACTCGATCAAATAAACTTCGTTCCTTTCTCTCACCTTTTAAACTCGAATTTCATAAACGATATATTTCTCCCTATCTACATCTTTATGAAACGTGACTTTCTATTATTCATTATTATTATTATTTATTAAAAAAGAAAAAAACAAAAGTTAGTTGTCATCAAATAATTTTTATTATAATATTTAACTTACCTTCAACTTCTTTTTAAATTTCATCTCAGCCTCAATCTCCAACTTTCTACTCTCATAATCTTCTTCCCACTTTCTCTTCAACTCCTTATCCAACTTCTTCAACTTCTTCTTGGTCTTACGGTCTTCAAAATATATTTTAATTTTTCGAGGAATTAGGTATGAGATGGCTGAATGCATTTTTTTTTCAAATTTGAGGTTTGAGGTTTGAGGAAAGGGAAATGGTACCTATATTTATATTATTTAAGGAATTATTTGATTGGTAAAATCTTTTCACGATAAAAAAAAAATAAACAAAAAAAAAAAGAAACAGAAAAAAAAAATAACACTTACCCCTGATAATAAAACATAGTTTATTTATATTATTATTATTAATAATAATTATATATTATAATATTAATCTTAGATAATAATAATAATGATTGGTTTGATTGTCCGCTTTCTGAGTCTATTTCCTCCTTCATATGTTATTTCATATGTTATTACTGCTATTTCCGGTTAACACTGAAATTTGAAAATTTCTTTTATATTATTTAGATTGCTAACAATTGTTAAATAAGATTTATATTATAACAATTATAACAATAAATAATATAATAAATATAAATAATATGTAATCTCAAGATAAATAAGATAAATAATTTTTTTTTGTTGACGCGTACGCGTATATATGTAAAATAGGTAGTACAGTACAAACTATCTAACTTATATCGGTAACACATAGGATCTGTATACATAGTTTTAATAGTAATAAGTTGATGATTTGATTTTTCGGTTAAATCAGTGATATGATAAACATTATTATTTAACGTAATAGATAATCCTTTCGATTATTGATTTTTTATATTAGCAATATTTTATTTTATTTGATTAAGATGTTAATATTGATTAAGTAAATAAATGAATGTATTTAATAGGTTAATTTTTCAAATATACTGAATTGTTTCTTAACTAAGGTAATGATTTAATTAAAATTTCAACTTGATATTGTTATTATTATAATAATAATAGTAATAATAATAATAATATCGAAAGTAAGTGTAAATAAAATTACAATGTATAATTAAACAATATATAATTTGGTAAATCTTTATATTCCTTAGATTTAGTTTCTAATGAATTGAATACTACTTTAATTCAAAAATTTTTTTTTGTAGCCACAGTATAATAAATTCATAAATTGAATAAATTGAATTTATTGAATGAATTGAAAGATCAAAAAGTACATTATCTGTTATGATCATATTGATATAAAGAAAACGAATTACTAAATAATAACTCCTTATTTTCATAAATAATAATAAAATGTCAAATTGATATTATCAATAACAAAGTAAAAAATACCAAATAAAAAATGAATGTTATAATTCTTTAATTATTTCTTTGGTGAAACTTTGAAAACTTCAAATTCTTCAACTGAAAATCCGCCTTTATCAGAACGAATTTGCTCTTCATAATTATAACTGCCAAAACAACTGCTACCCTTCTCGGTCTTTAAATTGCCACATAAATTTAATGTATTGCCAAATTGCAAAAATGAATTTCTTGAATCATAATAAATAGCCAGATTAAAATATTTCACTCTACTTACGATGGAATTTTTTAGGAATTCAGTTTTCAATGAAAATGCAAAACTATCTTCACTATAATACCATCTTCCATATATATTATTTTCTATTTTAAGAGGATTGTAACCACCAATGATTTCTCCAGTACCTTCCACTTTTACAACAATGACTGTATTTGATACTTTATCACAAATTTCAAAAATAGTTTTAATATCAAACCCATCTTTACTTCCTCTAACAAGCAATTTAAATTCATATGGGTTGTTTTCAGTATAAGGAGTTTCTTTTCTATCAATCCAAGATGAAATTTCTAAGGCGTGCTCCTCATTAATAAAATTAGAAGGAATCGGAGGAGTTCTAGTGGGAAGAGTTGAACTTATGATTTTTCGAGGTGGCAATATTTTTGAAGATATTGGTTTGTTAGGAATTAATAACTTAATATTGACGTCCGACCACAGTTTAGGTTCAAAAAGTTGTTGGTATGGATAAAACTTTTCTACTAATTGCTCACTTGAAATATTGAAATATCTAATGTGAGGAAGACAATGTTTCAATGTTTTTTTTAAAGTTACGAAATTATCACTTGTCCATTCATTAAGATTTTTTGGTAAATTTGGATTTTTAGCCTTTCCCCATTGAATTATGTAATCCCAAATCTTATCTTCTTCCAATTGCAAATCATCTAATCTAATGATGGAAATTAATACATCTTCAGGAAGAGAAATAAAGTTCTCTGATTCAAAAATAGTATCAGGATGTTTGGAAATTATATTATTACAAAAGTTTTGAATTATCTCAAAGTTTTTTTGAAAACTTATTTGATAAACGTGAGCAAAATTTAACCTTAACCATGAGGCATTGTTGGTATTAAGATGAGTTTGGAGATGCTCAACTAATTCATCGAGATCAAATTCATGAGAAGAAATCAAGAGATCAAAAATAATTGAATTATCTAATTTTTCTAACGAAATTGTTCCACCATATATGTACCTAAATTATATATTAAAATATTTATAAATGATTTTCCAAATAATGTTATTAAAAAATTTAAAAATAATTTTATGAAACTATGCATACTTGATAATGATATCAAATACTTTAGTAGAAATATTAGGAATTTTTAATCCTTTGACATGATTTTCGTTGAACGGAGATTCATCAAATTTCTTTTTAAAATAAGGACAACGAGATTGTAAAATGTAAGAATGAACTTCGAAAAATTGGCTGACTGGTGCTTTACCAACTTCAATTGTGACATTATAATCAATAGGGTTTTCAAGGAGTTGGGTGAGGTCATTTGATAAACGGTCATAAAATTTTGTAGTCATTTTTATTTAGTAAATACGGATAGCGAAAAAAATAAAAATTAAAGCACTATGTATCACAAATATTATAAATTATTAAGAATAAATCGGAAAATTGATATCGAACAATTGGCAAAATATAATTGGCTTGACAATATCACATCATCACGAGGAAAATCATTATTTCGCAAAATGCGAAATTATGTTCTAAAAACTGAAATAGTTATGAAAGGACATAAAAATGATGCTTATAATATCGAAAAATAATATTATAAACAAAATTCATCAAATCTAAAAAATAATATCTATTAAATTAATATTTATCTAATCGATAGAAATCACTTAATTTAAAATGATAAATAATAATAATCCTAAAAATTTATAAAATAAAAATGAGTTCTTTGGTGAAATTTTGAAAATTTCAAATTCTTCAACTGAAAATTCACTTGCATTAGAATAAAATTTGCTTTTCATAATTATCTGTGCCATAAAAGTTATCCTTTTCAATCTTATAAATTTCTACGTAAAAATAAAGCATAGCCGAATTTCAAATATAAATCATATTCATAATAATTAATAGCTCTATTATTTCATTCTACTTACGCTGGAGTTTTACAGATTTTCAGTTTTCAGTTTTCAGTTTTCATAATTATTATATGTTTCAAGAGGATTATAACCACAATAATTTTCAGTACCTTCCACTTTTAGAAAAACAACTGTATCTGACACTTTATCACAAATTTTAAGAATTATTTTAACATCATAATACTACATTATTATCATTAATAATCTAATAAATTAAAGCTATTGTTAGAAAAAGATCTCTTAATGATATGCTTTCATTAAACATATTAGATTAGTTTGCAAAAAAAAATATTTATGAAATAAAGATGAAAAGTGAACACTTATTTATTTAAAAAATATCAAAGAAATTTTTTTTTTTTTAAATCCAACAGAGTCTTGCTCCAATAAACTTTTATTAATAAATTAGGTGTAAATTTTAAAGATACAGATAATTTGTTTTGCACTTATTGAAACTGACTATAAATAACATTTTACTGTCTGACTTATCATTGCCTAAGTGTAACCTCAGGAACTGATGGCCAAAACCCCATTAGATGTAATTATTATATATATAACTACAATTATTATTATATTTGCATCCTAAGTTAATCCACATTCTAAATTTATGTATTGTGTTCTTTTTTATTTGTTCTATTTTACTGTATTTCCCTTCATTAGTTTCTACTAACTTTATACTGTCATTATATTCTCTTATTTCCCACACCTTTTTTTAAATTAATTTTTCCCTTTATTTTCTTTTTCAATATTATTTTTAGCTTCCCATAGTTCCACTTTTTCACACCATTCCTTCAATAATTACTTCCCTGGTCCTTTTTCTAGATTTTAACATTGATGTAACTTTGAATACTAATGATTGTGGTATGAATCCCTGATTAATTCATGTAATGTGATCCTAGGTGAACTCATCTTCCCAAAACTTTCATAACTTACTTAGGGACCTAAATTCACTTTGTATTTTGTCTTCCTCTATTTCATAGTTAGGCAATTAATTAGTTGTTTGTAATGATTTGTTATTGGTGTGTATTCACTCTCTTTATTATTATTTCTTTTGCACTCAAACACATGCATATCAGTTTCTTCATACCTTCCACATAATATACATTTTGAACTGTTATAATTTCTTTTATAGTCTGAAATATAATAGGATTTTTGACTTTATTTCATATATATTTTGATTTTCCTTTATTGAATTTGTTCATATTATCTATAGCGCACTTGCTATCTGTGTATATATTTACCTGGAAACTTTTTGGCATTACTGTTAGTGTTATTAGTATTGCCATTAATCCTGCTCTAGTTGATAATGGGAATTGTTCTAAGTTACTTCAGAATGTCATATTATTATTTAATCCTTGATCTAAAATCACCTATCTCAGGCCCATGTGGTCTTCTTCAAGTATGTTCTTCATTGAACCATCTGTATATACTTTAATTTCTGTTCTATTTTTTAATTTGTCTCTTATAGTTTCCAATTTTTTATATATTTACTTTTCTGTTGTTAACCAATTTCTAATCATGTTTTGTTCTGTTTCTATGTCATTCATATCTAAACATATGTTTTGGTCATTTATAGGTTCTTTGTGTGCAGATTCTATAATTTCTATTGCTTTTTAAATGTTTTTAAATGGCATCCTTATTCTGTGTTTATATCTTTTCTTATTGTTACTGAGGTAGAGATCTTTGAGTATGCAACTGGTATCTCTATTTCTGTCTCATCCATATT